AGTGCGTAAGGGCACCTCTATCTCTATGGCCTTCATCGTACGGGATAATGATGAAAATCACCTTTGGCGAACCAGCTTTTTCACCTACGCGCACATAAGAAAACTGGGCATGTATTCATAGGGAGTGCAAGTAGTCCACCAAAACATCGGTTTTCTGATACCGACTCCTTTAGTATGCACATCCAGAAACTTTCCAAATCACACGTGACAAAATGCTCGCAGCTGTGCATTGTTAGGTTAAAGCCTACTTTAAAACACTGGAACTTTCTTTCCCTTATCTCGTTATAAGATTGAGAAGACACTATGGCGACTAATATGTGCCATACTAACACAACCCCTTAATTGAGAAATTTTTGTTAATAGCCAACCTAACAGAAATAATAATAGGTACAAAGAATATATAAATTACGAAAGGCTGAAAGTAGATCTCGGTACTGAGTCCTGGGAGGACATATACAGGGTGGCTTCGAAGTTGAGTCATTTATTTTAACAGTGAGTAGATCTGATCAAAAGAAATGTTTTTTCCTTTAACATTTTTGTGGTAAAATTAAAGTAACAAAGTAATAGCCCTTTAGAAGTTTGAGTACCGCCCTGTCTCAATAATAATATTATGTGCTCGTGTTTGGCGACAACGGATGTACTCCGCCTTATCGGTTCATCGCATCGGAAACAAAAAAGCGAAAGAATTTGAAACGCTGATCACGATGTTTTTATTCAGTCTGTGTCAGTCGGTAATGCGTGAGTGAATAGTGGTGTTTGCTGCATGGCTCAAACGAAATAAAAAATGGCACATATTTATGCCGATCGGTTTCCCAATCGAGTGCAACCAACCCCTCGTGCCTTTGTTAATGTAGTACAACGGGCTCGTGAATCAGGTGACTTAAGACCTCACAGGGGACTGCATGCCGGTGCTCCAAGACCTCACGATCAAATACAGGTCCGCACTGAAATACTTGTCGGGAGGATACTTTATAATACAAGGTAAACAATTTTTTTTATTTTTTTTTATTTTTACACACATATTTTGGTTTATCTTCCTTCTACAATCATTGTCTGAAAATTAATGACTCAACTTCAAAGTCACCCTGTATAGGTCAAGTGATGTACATGAGGCATCTAAACATCTCACCAACATTATTAAAAAATATATATCAAAGAATACTAAAAAAATTGAGATTAAACACAACGAAATTCCTAGAAAAGACTACTGGGCTAATCACATCAATAAATAAAAGAAATGAAAGGTACAGATTATATCAGGCAAATCTTACGGAAGAAGCAAAACAAGATTATTCAAACTACAAAAATAAACTTTCCAATTTAATTACTGCTACAAAACAAAAATATTATTCGGAGATACTACAAAAAAGTAAATCCGATTCTAAAACGGCATGGAATACCATCAACCAAATCTGTAACACAAACAAGCCAATAACAAGTATTGAATAAACCAAAACTAATAATACTGTAATAACTGAAGATACAGATATTGCTAACGTTTCCAATAACTATTTTGTTCAAGTGGGAGAGAAATTGGCATCTAAAATAAATAAACCTAACAACAATATTCCATCTAAAGTTTTCTGAACCAGTTACAGAAAATGAAACAGAATATACCATTTACAGCCAAAAAAATAAAAAGAGTCCAGGTTTAGATGGCATACGGTCAGAGGTACTCAAAAAAATTACGTCTGAAATTAGAAAACCACTAACATTTTTGACAAATTTGATAATCGAATCTGGATTTTTCCCAGTCCCTTACAAAATAGGAATAATAACACCGATTCATAAATCTGGTGACATATCTACTATCTACTATAGACCAATAACATTAATATCTAATTTGGCAAAGATAGTTGAAAAAATCAAAAAGCTAGGCTTATTAGTTTTTTCAACAAAAATAAGCTTATACATGAACATTAATTTGGTTTTCAAAAAAGTAAATCTACTCAAGATGCAGTTTCCTTGCTGACTTTAAAAATTCATAAATTATTAGAGCAAAGTTATACATTATGCATATTCTTTATACGATGCAGGAATTAGGGGAACCGCTCAAAACCTTATGAGAAGTTACCTGTTTTACAGAAAGCAATATGTTCGAATAAACGACTCCTTAAGTTCAGAAAAAACTGTGACTTATGGTGTACCACAAGGGACAGTTTTAGGCCCGTTATTTTTTACTGTGTATATCAATAGCCTGCTTAGCAAGGCACAATAATATGTTTTACAGATGACAGCGGTACTTTATTCCAATAACAATTTCTGGGATAATCTTAAACAGACTGTTGAAAATGACATTATTTTAATTTCAGATTGGTTTAGACACAAATATCTAACAATCAATTTTCAGAAAACCACGTATATGCCGTTCACAAACCTTAAAAATAAATTACCGTCATTTAGCTCTTTACAAATTAAATGTGACAATACAAGTACAATACATTCAGCTGACAAAAAAAAAAAATTTAGGTATTCATTTGGATCCTCATTTAAAGAGGAATTTCCATGTTGATCATATAGTAACTAATTTAAGACGATTATTATTTAAATTCAAGGACCTCACTATATATATTTATCTAGATCATGAAACAATGAAGACGTTATATCATGCACTTATTGAATGTCGTCTAAATTATGCCATAATAGCTTGGGGTGGTGCTCTTACCAAGCAAATTAAGAAGCTAAAAATAATCCAAAAACAATTTTAGAAAATTATTTTTAAACGGCCAATTCTATATCCATCTGATATGTTATATTCCGAAGCGAGACTACTCGATCTTAGGCGACTCTTTTTTTACAAAGTTTTGATCAATTTATTCAAAAATAAAACAAACCTCATTTCGTTGTACCACAAATATGAAACAAAAAGTAAAGTCGAGGATATTAAAAGAACGCCATTTACAACAAAAAATTTAGGTCAAAGATGCTTCAGTTACCTCTCCACTAGATTCTCTAACTTTTTACCAAGCCATATAAAATCCATTTCAAATAAAAATAGATTCAAAATTGAAATAAGAATATTCTTGTAAAATAATAATCGACAAATAGAAAAACTCACTAAAATGAAAATAAATTAGTATTTGAATATAATATTATTACACTTACCTTTATGGTTATGTTGTGCTTAAATTTATGTATTAACTATATTTAACTATGTTTAAAGCAAAAATTGTTATGAAGAATGTTTTCCCACGCACAAGAATTAAATGCTTCCATGGGATTATTTCAGTTTATTTGCGTATACAGGGTGACTTCGAAGTTGAGTCATTTATTTTAACAGTGAGTAGATCTGATCAAAAGAAATGTTTTTTCCTTTACCATTTTTCCGGTAAAATTAAAGTAACAAAGTTATAGCCCTTTGGAAGTTTGAGTACCGCCCTGTCTCAATAATAATATTATGTGCTCGTGTTTGGCGACAACGGATATAATCCGCCGTATCGGTTCATCGCATCGGAAACAAAAAAGCGAAAGAATTTGGAACGATGTTTTTACAATTATTTTATTCATTTTTATACAGTCAGTGTCAGTGAATAGTGGTGTCTGTTGCGTGGCTCAAACGAAATAAAAAATGGCACATGTTTATGCGGATCGGTTTCCCAATCGAGTGCAACCAACCCCTCGTGCCTTTGTTAATGTAGTACAACGGGCTCGTCAATCAGGTGACGGCATGCCGGTGCTCCAAGACCTCACGATCAAATACAGGTCCGCACTGAAATACTTGTCGGGAGGATACTTTATAAAACAAGGTAACATTTTTTTTTTTAATTTTTTTTTTATTTTACACACATATTTTGGTTTATCTTCCTTCTACAATCATTATCTGAAAATTAATGACTCAACTTCAAAGTCACCCTGTATATGCATATTTATTTTCAATAAACTGTAATACTTTATACGTGAATAAACTTATATTATTATTATATTATATTAATTAAAGAAAAGCTTATAGCAAGGTTTTATGTTAATCTGTCATATCTGCAGCGACACCACTGGAGTACGAAAGCCGCGATAAAAACAGGATTCTATAGATTCACACGAACAGAACTTTTAAATCAAATTAAAAGGGCAAAAAGTTGTATAAAAGCACGTGACCTGGAATTGTAGCAATAACATTTGGCCAATTCATATTCATGCCGACCGTCGCCATTAGATAAACCTATTATTTTGTTTTGTTTAAGTTAATTACTTCGTTATCTGTTTTATCGATTTCTGTAAAGCTGTAATTACATATTTCATTGGCCCTTCGGGAAAGGCACAGTTAAAACGCATAAATTGCTTTATGTGACCAATTACGGAGTCACGAAAAAGTGGATTCAATTTTCCGGTGCAGAAGCAAGGGTTAGGGTTGTAAAAGCTTTTTGGTGTTTTTTTATTAAATATAAACACGTGATGGGTATACCAAGCAATATGAAGGAAAAGTTGCCGTTCACATTACAAAAAAGTACATATCAATCTCTACATACAAGGTGTTTGATTGATAAACCGACAATTATTTTTTTTTTTCGGTAACTGATGATTTTTTTGTGAAAGATTGGCAAATCTCGAAACTGGAGATACTACAGACCAAAATATGTGAATTGACCGTTACATACCTTTGTCGAGAAGTTGATAGTTTGCGAGATACACGATGCAAAAGTTCCAATTTTATTTTCTATTTTTCATTGAAAAGTATGACAGATTTTGGCATAAGACTTGGTATAGTGTCTAAAGCTAATAGTTTTCGAGATTTTTGTTATCAAAGGTTCTAATACATTATATTTGTACCATGACGATAAGACATTTCTATAACAATAATCAAGTGCTCATCCTCACGGTGCTACCGTGGTAAGTGCTCAAGAGACGTCGTGGTATATCTAGAAAGCGATTGGGGGTGCATCTGCAATCCGGATTGTTTCACGTGAAACCCGCCAGATGGGGCATCAAGCAGCTTGAAAGGACAAGGGAACAATGGCGTGACTAGGATTGAAATTGCATCTAACAGACGATCCTGAAAGTTGACTGCCAGCTGTAGACTAATTGGTTAGGTCGGCTCCACGGAATGGAGGAGATGCGGGTTCAAATCCCGTCGATGCCCATGTTTTCTTTCTCTCAAGTGGTTGCTTTCTAAATTATGGATGTCAGTTGGAGGTCGAGTTTTAAAATGGGAATAGCAACAAACATTTTCGATAGAAGATTCGTGTAGGAGTTGGGATTTGTTATCAGACTGCATTTTCATATTTTTGGTTAAATAGTTATAAATGGTCCACTTAGCATATCCTGCTGGAACGTCTGAAAATTACACGAGCACCACAAAACCTTGCCAACAATGGAATTGTCTCAATTAGGGTTCGAATAATGGTGTCAGGATGACAAAAAGGTAATCCATCGATGATTTCAGATGTGATGTGATGAGATAATCACCTTAGAGAACATTTAAAAGTCAAGTTTATAGATCTGACATGATATTATACTGCTGTTTGAAATCGTGGTTGCTATTTGAACTCGCAAACTTGACCTCAAAGTAGGTCATACTGATCGAACGACTTATGGCCACTTAATATCATGAAAATGCAGATTCATGTAAAATCTCAAGCTCTACACCATTCTGCTGTCAAAAATGGTATATACATACTTGTTCTCCAAATGACCTTTGAAGTCATTATCTATTTCAAATTTGACGACATTTTTAGTTCCTACACCATTGGGTGATCAGTTAACTAAATGACTGAGGACCGAGTTGTCTGGTGGGGGTACTCTGGGTCTCTTGAGTGACGTGGCTTTTGCGCTGTGTTTTTTAGAATTGGGAACCACTTTTTGTTTATAGCAAGGCCTTCTTCTTTTCTGTTGAAATTATCACTGTGTTTATAGATTTCAATTGCTTCTCTGTACATTCGGGCTGAGTAGTAGGTGGGTGATGATAGGACTTCAGATTGGTCGAACAGAACATTGTGGCGGTCTTGGAGTGCGTGTTCGGCCACCGCTGATTTATCAGTTTGTCCCAGTCGACAGTTTCTTTCATGCTCCTATATGCGTGTTTGGAGCTACGTTTAGTGGTGCTTACGTATACCTTACCACAGGAAAACGGTATTCTGTATACGCCGGCACCGCTCAGGGGGTCCCTAGGGTCCTTTACCGATGTTAGGAGTTGCAGGATTTTATTTGTCGGCTTGTAGATCGTCTTCATGTTGTGTTTCTGCAGCAACCTTCCTCTTCGATCCGTGATGCCTTTAATGCATGGTAGGAGGCAGGTGCAATTCTAAACAATGTTGCTACTATGCTAAAGACGAAAAAGCTTTGTAGCTTTTGAAAATCGGTCCAGTGGCGGCGGAGAAAAGGGGATATGGGGGTAGTAAATGTTAGTATCAGTCACAGACGTTATATCAACAAGAAGCTTCTGATCCTGGGAAGAACGGAAAAATTAAATGATAAGTCCGATGTATAATGTGCTGATAATTCAAAATAACACTGCATCGCCGTGCAGGCCGCTGCCGACTTTAGAAGGCACAATAAAGTAACTAACTCTAACTCGATGTCGACACGGACACACCGCTACAGGTGAATATTTATGAACGTGCTTCTTATATCCAAATATTCCTAAAGTACGTACTTTCTAAGGTATGTACTAGGAATATTTGGGTATATACGTAAATGACGACTTAATTCTTTTAATATCTACGCATAAATCTGCCCATTTTGCCTAACCTTTAGTTTGTGTAACTCAGTATATGAACGTCATAGGAGAAAAAGGATGAAAGCTTGAACACCCCTAGACTCGTTGTACAGGGTTGGTTAAAGATCTGACGGAGTATTATAGATTCTTTATTACAAGAAATTGAAAAAGGTTGAATTATAAATAAAAAAATATTTTTTGATACACAGGGTATGCCAAAAATAAAAGCAGACCAAACATTTTTTAATGGAAAATCCTTTTATGTTTTTGTATTTTGAGAGTCTGTTTATGATTTTAGACGTTTTTTAATTGCTAGCGTCCTTGCCTGAATTCACCTCTTTTGAGATATTGAGGTTAGAAATGAGCCTTTGGTTATATGCGACACCCTGTAAAGTGTAAGGGTTGATAAACCAGCAAAATAGGATTTACGGTTCATTCTAATATGAGAGCTCCTTAATGGGAAATTTATTACACAGGGCCTAGAACATCAGGAAAAGGTGATATTCTAACCTCAGTAGATCAAACACAGAATTATTTCGTATTTTTTTAATTGGGACAGGAAAAACACAATGGACCAACCAATTTTTTATTCAAAGGGATATAGAACAAACAAAACAAAATTGATGGTAACTGCTTAAAAATGATACTTAACGTAGTAGCGACTAGTTTTCATAGAACGGCAGTGACAATCATCTTTTTTCCCTGCACGGAAAGTTTTCATTTGTGTATAACTAGGGACTGGTATCTACTTGTTTCTGCACGTTTTCGATACCTCATGGGACCGTACGGCGTTAAGACTACATGTTGCCGGTTCTAGCTACAAAACACCACATTCGTGACATTCATCTTTTTTTCCCTGTACCCTTCATGTATTCTGGTTTTCTGAATACTTCGTCAAGTAGCTTGACTCAGTACTTATAAGTACTACGCATTGATATTCAACAGACGCGGAATGACAAACAGGCGTAATTGAAAAGCACGAACTTGCGTGATGCAGATATCTTTGAGCGACAGAAAGCTTGTGAACTGAAGCTTGGATATTATCGCGACTTAAATACATCGTTCAGGCTTAAACTGAATCCAAATTCAAGATGAGATGTAAATAGCACTGGACAACAAATTTTAGTTTTTTAATTGTATCTTGTGGGAAAAGTGCACTTCTTTGTTAATTTTGGGGCGCTGAATCAAAAAATGACAATAAAATAAAAAAATTAGTTGCGGTTTAGAAAAAAAACTTTTAATTTTTAAGGATATATTAAAAAAAGTAACAAGATTCATATACTTATAAGAATCACTATATACGCTATCTTTTTGCTGTTCTTTTATGGATCGTTTCTGGAGCATCTCTACCAAGAGTCCAACAGTAGTCTGCAAGCATGGAAGGATTCCACTTTCCCTGGTACCTTTTTTCCATTGTTGAAATATCCTGATGAAAAAAGTCCAGGTGTGAGTGTAGGAAATGTATCTTAAGAGACATATTACAGCCCATGTTTTGATACGATGTCAGCATATTTTTGACAAGGGTTTTATAGTTGTCAGCTTTTCTATTTCCCAAGAAATTAGTGACCACCAGACGGAAATCATTCCAAGCAGTTTTTTCAATACCTGTTAAAGTGTTTTCAAACTGTGTATCTTTCAAAATATTTCGAATCTGTGGCCCAACAAAAATACCTTCTTTAACCTTTGCCTCACTTAGTCTTGGAAATTTCTGACGCAGGTATTGAAAAGCTGACCCATCTCTATCTAATGCCTTGACAAAGTTTTTCATTAGGCCCAACTTGATATGCAGTGGTGGTAATAAATTTTTTTTCGAATCTACTAATGGCATATGCTGTACATTTTCTTGACCTGGCTCTAGGAATTGACGAACAGGCCAGTTTTGTCTGGTGTAATGAAGTGCCTTTGCCCGACTATCCCATTCACACAAAAAACAGCCAAACTTTGTGTAGCCTAGCTGCAGCCCAAGTAAAAGTGCAACAACTTTCAAATCGCCACAAATATGCTATTGGTGCTCATCGTATTTTATGCATGTCAATAGGTACTTCATATTGTCATATGATTCTTTCATGTGAACTGCATACCCTACAGGAAGAGATGGTAAAATATTTCCAATATTCAATAACACTGCCTTTAAACTCAATGTTGAACTGTCTATAAACAATCTCCATTCTTCTGGGTTATAGTTTATATTTAAAGCCGCCAGTAAGCCGTTAATGTTGCTGCAGAAAACCAAGTTATTCTAGATATTGAAAAATGGTTCTAAGTCTTTGTGGCGTTTACGAAAAACACATACCGAAACATCGTCTTCTAACAAGTTCCACTGCTGCAGTCTTGATCCAAGTAACTCTGCCTTACATTTTGGAAGTTCTAAATCTCTTATAAGATCATTTAATTCTGACTGTGTTTTGTGCGGTTGGTGGCATGACGTGCTCGGTATAAGATCAGGATCTCTTGACGTTGATGGCTATCTTCTTCCTGACGAATCACTCGATCGCCATGATCTGATTCGTTTTCTGATCCGCAAATGTAGGATTCTGGGGGTTTTGGAATAGAATTTTCGTCACTGTGAGGCACAGGTCTCATCGCAGATGGTATGTTTGGGTAGTTAATAACCGATTTTTTTTTCTTGGACATACCTGTGGCTTGTCCAACACAAGGTACCATGCAAAAGTAACAATCATTAATATGATTTGTAGGCTCTCTCCAAACCATTGGGACATCAAAGCGCATAGACCGTTTTTTGCCATTTAACCAGCTCCTGAGACTTGAAGCACATGTATTACAGCAGATGTGGGGTGCCCACTGTTTGTCTTGATCACCTAGTTTACAACCGAAATAAAGCTGATATGCCTTTGTTATTAGTGGAGTAATAGACCGTCTCTGAGACGCAAAAGTCACATCACCACACACGTAACAAAACTGATCTGGATTGTTTACACACTTTCGAGACATCTTGCATGAACGCTGTCAGCCAACTGAGGAAAAAATGGCTAATATAAAACAATATAATGTACACGTATGTACAACGTAACACAATCATGCCGATTACATCATCTTTCCTTGCCGAATATAAAAATGTAGCACGTGCATTCTTGTGAATTACAGTATATTAACACTGTCACAGCAGGAACACATATAATTACCGTATCTCTAAAACTTGAACTAATATTGAAAAAATAAGTTTCATTCCGGTTTTAGCACATTAAAAATAGTAATATTTTGTTGATTTTATTTAGGATATTTTTTGGTTGTTGACCAGTGTAATAACAGTTAGCGCGTGATCTCTCGGTAACAGGTGGGGACCACGCCTCTTATTGATCAATTCGCCATTAAATTTCAAGCGGTCGCCGGGAGGAATAATGCGCGGGGCAGGGGCAGGACAGGCAGAGTTGCATTCAGGCCACCGACTGTCGCGTGTATCACTG